AAACATGGGAGAGAAAACAGCAGCTAGGCTGCAGAGCAAATGTTGATTTAAGGCAAGGTGTGCCAGACAAGCAGTAAGGACACTTTTTTCTTACAAGTTGTCAGAGACAGTAATTTTGCATTGTACTAACTCAAGAGGTGTTACAAGTAACATACAAGTGAGCAGAAACTTCTCATTGTATATATTAGGATTGCCTCACTGAGAAGCTGAACTATTGGAGAGAAGTGTTCTAAGCAATCTCATTGCTTAGTTATGTAAATGATTTCATACTTTCACACAGTCAGGACAATACACTTAATCCCTATATTTATATATTCTTACAGATTTCAACCCATGAAACTGAAAACCCTTAAAAAATCTTACACCTTGTTTGATTAGAACAGCTGCACTGTTATTACTGGAACTAGATTCACAAGAAGAAAGAATAAGCAGCAATGTGAAAGCAAAGAATGGAGTTTCAGAGTATGCTTTAAGCATACCTTAAAGCCTAAAATAATGCTGGTTTTGTCCTGCAACCTTTTATTCTCAACACAATACTTACCTAGCAACTAGCAACAGCAGCATGAACTAACACAATTCATTGCAGTTAACAAAATATTAACTTCTGTCAATGCTAATTTTCATTCTAGTTGACAAAACAACCAGACTTACACAGTGGTCACAGAGTAACGTTTGAATCCTGTGGAAAATGAATGAGGAGAGGGTGAAGGGCAGGATGGCCCCTCCCAGCAAAGGACAGTGAGATCTATTTAAGCACAGCATGGAATGCCAAGTTTAACTGACACCCAGTCATTGATTCAGTCCAATTCTGTGGTGAGACAGACATTGCAGCACATCTCACTCATTCACTCACTCAATGACAGCAACTCCTTTTCCCCCACAGGTACAGCAACAATTTATAGGCTGAAGAATACCATCAGAAATTCAGCATCCAACAGCAGTTCACACCCTTCATACTTCAGCTGCAACCATAGTACCAGAAACAGGCTACAGTCAAAGAAACTCTCCCACAAATGGCTCTTCTGACTTGAAGATTAGGCTATTAAGCTATAGCTATTCCTTCCACACACACGATGTTACGTTACTTGATTTCACCCAAGGAGCTGTGATCGCTTCAAGACATGTTTGACAGCATGTTGATTAGCAAACAAGAGGGTAAATATTTTTGTAGTTTATGCTTTTAATTAAAAAAATTGTATTCCAAGAACAAGACACCATCTGGGTTTACAGTCAAAGCATACACAGTTACATAAAACATCACCTACAGCCAGGTATTCCTGATAACAATCCAATCAACAGAGAAACTTCAGCTCCAACTTATGGCTTCAGCTACCCATTCTCAGATATATAGTAATTGTAGTGGCAGCTGGACATCTGTAAATGTTGAGCAACAACAGAAGCATTAAAAGACAATGCCTTGGAAACTACCATTAAAGAAGCGGCTCCAATCTGTAAAGCATCAAAGGCTGAAAGAGACTAATACTACTTCCTAGCTTCAGATCACCTTATGTGTCTCCCAGTCTTTGTCCAGCTTAACGTATTTAATTATAATCTAATATCAGAATCAAGGAATATTTGCAAGGCTCTAAAACTTCAGTGGAGAAGACATGAATACAAACAGAAAGCTAACTACTAGTACCCAAGACAAATACATCCTTCTGTGGAGCACTGCAACTTTCCCTTCCAACATTCACGGATGCTGAGCTACTAAACTGGAAACAAACCATGTACTTAAACATGAAGGGAGAGAGTGTGTTGCAAAGCAATACAGATGGGGGAACTTTCATTTTTAAGTGAGGAGGGGAAAAAAGTTAACAGATTACAGCAGACAGCCTGCTTTAACAGATTGCAAGAACAAAATGGCCATCTAGTTTGTATTTAGGATGCTTTCACATGTTTGCTTGCCACGAAGAGAATGGTCTGATCTCATCCATACCAGGCTGTGACTGACAAGTATTCAGTGTGTTTACTATTAAATACTGTCTCAGCAACTGATGTGTACACAATTGCTCAGATCTTACAAATTAGAAGAATGAGCAATCCAAGCAGACTAAAAGTCAGTCACAAGTTCTATTTAAGTTAACAAGATGGACAGTCACAAATTTTAAAAAATATTTCTACTATTAAAGACTAAGAACAAGATGTGCCACTCTGAGAAGTTTTCTGAGACTCTGCATGAAATTATCTATCTTCTTGTTGGTTTTGTTAAGTGAAAAATAGAAGAAATACTGCAATAAACATTCCAAAAGGTGTTGCAACAGCCAGTATGTTTTAGAAATAATAATTAGCTATACTTACTACAACAACACCCAATTGATGCAGAATTTGAAAGTGGAAAGATGTTTTAATTATGCAATTCAAGTCTTCTGCTTCTTGACAAAGATATACAATTAGTACAAGGTATTTCACAAGTTTAAATATTTAAAGAATAATAGCATTGATAGAGCAAAGGGAAAATATTTCATTAAAACAAAGTTCTGCTGAAGATTATTATGTGGAACAGCAAATTTGAACCACTCCCTGTTTACTGTGCATGACTCCTCAAGACAATTCACATTCAATTAAGAATTCCAATTCTATTAAATCCATTCCCTAGTTCCTTAAATAGTTAACCAAATTATTTTAGTGGGGTTAGTGAATTGCAAATTGCAAAGTCTCAAGTTGAATCAGAAGGCAATTTGCTCAGGACACAGTTGTCAGGACAAGTCCACCACGTCAGAAGTCAGCAGAGGGCACTGTGACACACCTACAAATTACTATTTTGCTACTCTTCTGTCCCTGAAACATAGGAGGTCAGTCAGGAGTGGAGAACTCTGCCACCGACAGAAAAACTGCCGCTCCTTTCCATCACCAGTCAAGATGATAGGTATTCTTGATGGCTGCACACACAGAACAGGGCCGGGCTTGCTAAGGACATTGCATCAGGAAGTCACCACATAAGAATAAAAATGCTACATCTGGTTCTTAGAGCTTCTAAGAGAAAGATAGTATACACCTTCCAACCTCCAAACGTACAATTCAGAGACCCAAAGTCACTAAAATAGGTATATCTGAAAAGAGACCAGGAAGGAAAACAGATCAAAAAAGGAAGATAACAGACACTGAGAAAACAGAACAAGAAGGACATTCTCAAAACCATTGAAATTAAGACCTCTCATGTTTCCATGACCACATCTGTTTCCATGCTACCTGTCACCTTCTGTTTCCACATGAATTTTGCTTTATTACCAAAGTTAAACAATAATGTTACAGCTGTCCAAGTTCTCATTGAACACTTACACCTTCCTGAGAAATTGAATACTGGCAAACTACTTAAATCCCACATCTAGGAAACAAGGACACAAGAAGGTGGAAAAGTTTTATAAATAATATTTAGGAATCCCTTTTTAGCAAAAATAATTAGGGCACACAAATGGGTGACCAGTGGCAATAAAGAAACCAAACTACACAGAACTGCACAGTACATTATCCTTTATTGCCTTCTGCAATAAATCTGTGAAGAACAGTAGCTGTTCTCTTCATTCCCTGTGCAATTGGGTTAGGCTCACAGAGGACTTTAACTTATGCAAATACAACCCTTAGGAATTCAGGGGGAAAAACCACAACTAACTACACAAGAATTTAGTCATCAGAAATTCAGGTGCTCAGCATTGCTGCCAATTCCCTCGAAACCATCACAGTCTAAGTAGTTAAAATAAGAATTCTCTGGTGCTCTTATGTAACAAAGCAGAAACAGGTTGAGCATCTCCAACTGATGTACAGAAAGCAAGAGCCTATAGCCTCTTGCCTAGAGCACTGTGTATAGCCCATCGGAAGACCACACTAACGAAGTGCACCAATAGCAATTCCTCCCAGACTTCCAACCCTCTGTCGTCCTTTGCCAACTCTGGAATGCGATGTTCTACTTTGCAAGTTGCAATTATGTGACAAGTCTCAGGAAGGGCTGAAAGAGAGGCAAGGACGGCTACCTATCTAAGTGGTTGGGCTGCAGCAGGAGAATATACGTGCCGGTATGAGAAAGCTTCCTGACAAAGTTTTCAGATGAAATTACACCAGACAGCTTAAGGGGGTATCTGTCACCAACAAAACAGGAAAATCCTATTACGCCCTGCTCTGGATCACACACTCCTGCTACATACTTTATGCTAATTCGGATGTTTGTTGGACTGCTTTCTGAGCAGATTCACTTAATTTGCCTGGCAAAAACTCACACATAGCAAATCGCAGCTCAAACGACCCAATAATCACTGGAGACCCCAGAGTCACAGTGCTATCCAGCAAGGAGCATAAGGAAGACTCTGCTGCCCAAATATTACTCAGCCTTTATGAGGAATTCATATTAAATCAATGCTTATTCAAATAAGCACAATAACTCATCAGTTTCAGGAAGGAACAGTACAATGCCTATAAAAAGACACAGGTCGCACTGCAGTTTACTCTTTCTCAAACAGAACTTACACAACACATAACACGATGCTTCTCGCCTAAGAAAGTTTGCCTCTTTGGCTTTCATAAGCTCAATTTTATGAAGTCCATAACAACACAACAACACTGCCAATCTACCTCTTCAGCTGATAACCTATACTCATCCCAGACCGCCATCTCACACTCGCAAGCGTTCTTCTAGTCCTCTCAACTCTGCTACAAGTTAAAAAGGAAAAGTTACCAGATTTTATATAGGTTACTTTGCGTTTACAAGCAACGGCTGCAATTTGTGCGTGACAGGCACAAAGCAGCGAGAGTTGGCCGGCTCCGCAGTCCCGGGAAACATGCACTTAGAGCAGAAGACCCACGGAGTAACCATAAACCCGGTGCAGGTCTTGCGGAAGATTTTGGGAGCACAAGGACTCTTTGAGGCACACAGACCCCTAAAGGCAGCGCAGAGCACCCGGCTCAGGAGACTGGGGAAACGAGAAAAGCCGCCCCCCGCCCGCCGCTCATCGAGACCACTCCTGCCCCGGGAAACAAGCCGCCTCCCGCAGCCCCAGCCTGGCACTCACACGACTGCTCGGGAGATCATCCAGGACACCATCACGACAGTAGCAACGGCCCGTCCCCTCAACTGGCAAGACCGCAATGGCCGCAGACCTGCCCCACCCCTTCTCCATTGGCTCGGGGACTGCGCGCCTGCGCCGTGGGGCCGCGCCCAGGGGGGCGGTAGCGGGGCGGGCCTCTGTGGAGACATAGGCGGGACGTGAGAGAGATCGGGACGCGTAGGCCCGGGGAAGGTGCCTACTCTTGCCTTTTCACCCAGGACCTGTCTAAGCAGCAGTGGCGTGGATCCTAGACCCCATACTGAGATAGCCTTTGTAGAGGAAGAGAAAGGAACTGATAGAAGTCGTTAAGACTGTAGTGCGACACCTTTCTCCTCTTCTTACCTCCTCTATTTGAAACACAGCTACCAACTCTATCAATAAAAGGGGTAGGATGTTCACCCCTTGCCTTAGTCTTTGCCCTGAGCTCCCCATGTGCTCGCAATTCTGTAGGATGTTTGGTAAGCGAAAACATCCGTGTCATACGGTGAAGTCACCTCAGGTTGGCCTGCTGCCCTGGAGCATGCTGAACAGTTCGTGTGCCGGAGGGGTTAGATATGGGTGCTGTGCATCACCCAGGGACACCGGCTGGAGCCCTGCCTTCGAAGCAGTGCGGGGTCAGCCCATTCCCTGGTATTTTGCACCCCTCTGAAGCACTGTGAGAAGGTGCTTCTCCTCTATACTTGCTGACAAGCACTCAGACCCGAAGACTGTTTAAGGTCACATCCTTAGGTGAGCCACACGGACTGCTACATGTAGTTAATCCAAAACTGCAGATGACCAGGAAGATACACATATCTTAGTTAGTGGCTGTCTGCCTTATTACTTTTGTTTCTTTCCCTACACATCTTTTACCAGGTGCTGCCCAAGGCCCTACAGCACACAAGACAATCCACAGTGTAACCCAGTCTGGGTACTCTTGCCAAGGTCATGGTCTGGCAGGTTGAGATATGCAGGAGAAGCTGACTGCTCCCTAATACCTTAGTTAATCCATCTCTGCATATTAGTTTTACACTTCCTGCAGAACTGTTTACACACATAAAAGGATGTATTTTGCTGAAACTGATTGCTTTATCTTTTCTCAAAAGTCTACTTTGTATGAAGTTCTGCCCAAGACATCTCAGAAAACATTCCATTTTGCTCTTCGAATTTCAAGATGTGTAACAGAGCAATATCCAAAGTGATAGATGTTGATGCTACTGAACATGCCACTCAGCAGCTAAGGTAGGGAAAGAGCAGATTACAATTACAGCACCATTCCTGCTGCCTCTCACAGTAAATGACATGTCAAAGTCAGTGTCAATCTCTAGGAGAAATTGATTCTTTAACATATCTTCAGGTGGGGATTATAATTTCCCTGCCTGCCATACAGAAAGAAGAAAGAGTTTAATCTGTGTAAACTACTGTTTTATTCAGATGAGAGGTGCCAAGTAAGTTCAGGATGGTTTCTGTTCCACAGGCAAGCACCAGAATTCCTCACCTCCTCCCACCACTGAAACTCAGCCATGGACATCTTCACTCCCTTGGAGCCTTCAAACACACCACACACAGTCAAAAGGCCAAAAGGAGGGAAAGAGAGAGAGTAAATAAACAATTGTGGAACATTTCAACAATTACAATGTTTGAAAACTGTTGTTATAGTTGTATACTGTGGAATTTGAAACCTGAAATGAGAAAGTAGACAATGTAAAAATAAATTATTTTTAGCCATTCAGAAATTCTTGCAAACAATGATATTGCCCATCTTGGGTGTCTCCTCACACTGACCTTTGTAGGGAGTTACTGATGCATGAAGAGGTAGAGAGGAATTTGTGAACAATTTAAAGTACACCACTCATCAATCTTATTTTTGAAACAGGCCTAACCTGAAAGCATTCTTCCTTTGATTCAATGAAGGAAAAATCCAAACCACTTCTTCTGTGCTCTTTGAATAACAAACCTCTCCAGTGGTAGACTGTGCAGAGAAAATTCACACAGGAAAGCATTTGTAAGATAAATTACCTGGCAGAGATTACATTTTAGGCTCCAGTTCTGTAAACTGCTGCTGCCTGCCTGATGCTCTGCTGAAGTTTGTAGCATTCCAGTCAATTTAGAGCAAACTGAAAGATGAGAGCTCTAGTTCACAGCATATGAAATTAAGTATACATTTCTTTACTGCAGGCAATTATGTTTGGTACTAGTTCAGAGATCCATTCCAGGAAAAGACTGATACTCTTTACTGTCTGAGATTGTGTATACAATAATTCTGTAGCTGCATAATTTATTTTTTATGGAAAATGTTTATACAAAATAAAATGTGGTTTTCCTCTAAGAGACATTTATTTTTCTTGTGTTTGTTACCATGGCAATACAGTCTCTGGTGGAAAGCTAAATTTACATTTAAAGAGACTTTTTTTTTAAAGGGTAAAGGCAGATGGCTCCTAAGAGTAATTTATCTTGCTCAGAAGACTACGATTTATTTCATAGAATGTTTTCAGACTTAATTCAGTGCAACAAGCTGGCTGGTGGTTGCTGGGCTCTCAGCAGACACGCACAGGGATGTCCCATGAACTTCCCTGTATTCCAGTTCACACATAATGCTAATCCGTTCTCCTGCATGGCAGAAACACAGGCAGCAGCACAGCAATTAAATCCATGCCATGCACTTACTCAAACGTGGTGTGTCTTACTCATATGTCTATAGATTTCTGTGTAAGGGAGAAACTTACAGATATATCATTACAGGATATTTTTAACACCCCTTGCAAAAGCCACTTAATATAGTTAAAAGTTGCTTGAAATAGTTTTTAAGAGTGTCTGAAAAATAATTTGTAAAGGCCGCCTAACTTCTGTGATATAATACAATGTATGTATATGAACATCAATGTTTAGCTTTCACCTCTTTTGCAGATAAACAAACATTTTAATTACATTGCAACTGTGCAATCAGCAAATGAGCAACATTTAGGAAGACACAAGTTAGACCCTGTGACAAAGGGATTTAGTTCCCTGAATTACAAGGATATGCTCCCTAAAGACAGTACCATTTGCATTACATATGTTAAAAATACACATAGGTTAATCACAGGGACAGGTTTTTCTTAGCTTCACTGTTTTATATTCATCTATCCTAGATGAATAATTTGAAAAAAAATAGAGGTTTCTTTCAGTCCTGAATCATACCACATACATTTCTAATTTTGGGATCAGAACAAAGATGCTGCCAGTTAATTTGTTAAAATAGCAATACAGTATGCATGAAGATGACTATTTCTTAGGCTACTCTAAGCTGATATTATTACCATAACTGATTATTAATTAATGTGGTTGAAATTTATGGTTTATACTACCTTCAAGTATTTAATTCTTCATCTACCTTTCCTATGCGTGAAGCAACAGCAAAGGTAGGCTCTGATCTCTAGATAAAAAGCCCTTCTGCCTTAACGGGATTTAATTTGATAGTGAGTGTTGGGCAATGCTATGGATGTTTTAGAAAATCAAAGCAGCTAAAGCTTTTGCATGGAATTCTGGACATGCCACTCCTTGGTCACACGTATTTCAGCCTCCCAGCACAGCATCTTGCTGAGGAACATGGCAAAGCCAGTTGGTGTCTAATACAGCTGTGTATTAAGGTTTTTTTTATTCCAGTATAGAGACAGAATTCTAAGAGGCCAAAAGTTTATTTCTTTCAGAAATGTTTGTGTGAAATTTGTTAACATTCCAAATTAGGAACGTAAAGCACTCAACATAATGAAAAAACAAAATTCCAAAATAATGTTTCTGCCTTTTTTTTTCATTTGGCAGGCTTAACCATTACTCTCAGTTTTATTACAGTCTGACATTCCTTTCAAAACTCTTGCTTCAATATGAATAAGTAAAAACCTTTGGTTTTGAATAATTTCTTGCCCTCATATTTACAGATATACCTGCAAATGAAAAACCTGAAAAACCTGAAAACTGAAAAAACTGCAACGTGATGTAAAATTCATGGTTTAAGGCATTTCTTGACATCAGTTTCTTGACTTTCAGGGCCCTGACAATTCCAGTTAGTATTGAATTTTAAGCAAAACAGTATTTGGAATTAAAAACGCATCTAGCTGGAGTTGTAGGATGTCTGCACTGTGTCACTGAGGGGAATCCTTGCAAGCAGAGGAGTTAGCAAATACAGCAGTATCTCAGTTTTAGAAGACAGGTGTCTGCTAGGGAAGGCAGGAGCCTCCCTTAGAATGAAAGAATGTAGACCCCCTCCCTCCGAATTATTATAATTCTGAAATCAAGGGGCTCTCAGGCAGAGATCTGGGGATAGGAATAACAGTTCTTTACCAGTATAACCAGGCAAACAAACAACAATAATTACAGCATTAGCAAGAAAGCAGAACCAGGGGCCCCGTGACAGCTTTCTCAGCTGAGACGGGAAGGGATGGAGGAGAGGCTTTGTTTCACAAACCCCTCGGGCGGGCAGTCCCGGTGCTCCTGCAGGGCTCTGAGGAACAGCCGGCTGGAACGGCAGGGATGAGCTGAGATTCTGGGCCGGTGACTGAGGTGTATCAGCAGGGATGAGCTGAGATCCTGGGCCGGTGGCTGAGGTGTATCAGCAGGGATGAGCTGAGATCCTGGGCTGGTGGCTGAGGTGTATCAGCAGGGATGAGCTGAGATCCTGGGCCGGTGGATGAGGTGTATCAACAGCTCCACGGCGGTGGCTGGCACTGCCACATGTCCCAGCAGGACCTCAACCAAGAGGGAAGAAGGAGAAGAAGCAGCAGCACCGTCTGGGTGATGGCGAAATTCCCTTCTCCCCACCGCAACAGCTCCACGCCCCAAAGTGTCCTTCTCCGAAGCTGAAGAAAAGCCTGCCAAACTGTCCCCGCCCTCCTTTTTTCCTGCCCCCTTCCCTCCCCCGGGCCCAGCCGAGCTCTTTGTCTTTTCTCAAGCACCCACTAAGTACCCACAGTTAGGTTGTCCCGCAACTAATGGGCAAAAATTCCACGGGCAAGCCAGAACTAAAAAAAAAAAAAACAAAAAAAAAACCTAACCCCCAACAAGC